TTTATTTGTTCTTATTTTATTACTGACTGCTTACTTGTCAGTTTTTATTCAATTCAAAATTTGAAATCAAGCTATCTCGTGCTACTGCACCAAAATTACCCAGCTGTAAAATAAAAAAAACAGAGTGAGCAAAAATTTGTGAGATAGCTAGTTATAATGGTAATTAAATAATGTTTACATATGTATAAAAGCCTACATTAAAATCTGTCATATAAATTGGTCTCTTCATTAGAAATTAGCCTACTGATTGCCACCATTGATGGACACATTGTTTTAATAATATTAAAAATATCTGTATGACATTATATTCTGCAGTTCTTCTCTGTTGTACCGAATATCTATACTTTTCAAATTATCATATCGAAGTTAGAAATTCAAATATTGTGACAAAATTAATTTTGTAGGGTGCCACAAGTCCGTTAAAATTTCCAAAGGGTGCCGCAACTAAAAAAAGGTTGGGAAACACTGATCTAAAGAACCTTTTTCCACTATAAAGAACCTTTTGTGCATCGGAAAGGTTCCACACTCTTAAATAAAGGTTCTTTATTTGCACTGATGGTTCCATGAAGAACCTTGAACATCCATGGAACCTTTCCACTCCACAAAAGTTTCTTTATAATGAAAAATTTTATTTTTAGATTTTTAAAATGTTCTTCACACTGGGAAAGAAAATGGTTCTATTATGGCATCACAGTGAAAAACTCTTATTTTTATGAGTGCATGAATGTTAAAGGTTCTTCATGTAACCAAAAATTCCAAAAAATAACATTTATTTTTAAAGAGTGTAGCATTAGAAGGCTCAAAGTACAGGCACATGTACTAAACGTCATTTCATGAGGCCTTTTGTGAATGATCATTTCTGTTCATTTCTCACCCAAAATCTAAACCATCCATCCTTATGCAGTCCTTCAAACGCAACTCAACTCTTACCAAAGACTCGTCATTTTCTGAAACCTCATCTTTCTCAAAGTTTCCTGCCTCTCTCATTTCATCCACTCCATTCTCTGTCAATCCCTCTATCTCACTCTTTTCCTCCTGTACACCCGCAGCGAGCTCTGCAGTGCCATTTTCCGTCTCCGAAACAACTGCAGAATCATCTGCGTCTTCATTTACAAGCACCTCATGTACTTCAGAAGAAGGCACAGGATCTCGCTCATTATTGGCCTATGAATGGAACTGCAGTCACATGCTTTGTTGTGTTAAATGAGAGAAAAAAAAGCTATTTTAAAATGAAAAACACTCATCATCATACCTCCTCGGGTATTTTAGATATTTCCTCAACGGATTCCTACAGGTGAATAAAATCGAAATGCCATAAACAAAGCATGGTCTTGAGATCTAACAAAGCATAAAAGGGAAAGAAATACACACCTGTTCTCTCAAATAAGACCTCCGAGGCTTTTCCTCCACCAGCACCTCCTCCTCCTCCTCCTCTTCCACCTGTTTCACCTCTTCCTTGCTGTTGTGCTCCTCCTCTGGCTCGTAGCTCCGGCCGCGGTGCAGGCCTCCGCTGCTCTCTTCCAGGCTGTGGTGGGAGGTTTGGCTGCTCTCCAGATCCTCCTGTCTGTCCAGCGCCTCCTTCATCCTCTTCTGCCTGCGCTCCTCTCTCTTGGCCAGGCGCTCCAGCAGGGCCTGCTCCTCATCGTCCCCCTCTCCCGTCCCGCTGGAGGTCACCACTGAGGTGGATACGCTCTCTGTCACCATCACGCTATGAAGAAGTAGCATAAGAAGAAAAGATGACAAAATCATTACAAATGATATTGTTGCACATATGACTAGTGCTCGACTGATATTAGCTGGCCAATGGCAATATCTAGAGAGATGGTGGCTAATATAATGCCTAAATATAAAAAAACACCATCCGGACACACCTGACAAATATGTAAATATTAGTGCTGTCAAACGACAGCATCCAATATAAAATCGCATCCAAAATAAAAGCTTTTGTTTACATAATATATGTGTCTACTGTGTATATTTATTATGTATATATAAATACACACACATACAGTATATATTTTGAAAATATTTACATGTATATATTTATATTCATATAATTTATATTATATATAAATATATTTAAAATATAAACATGTTTCTGAAATATATACATGCATGTGTATGTATTTATATATACATAAATATCCACAGTACACACACATATATTATGTAAACAAAAACGTTAATTTTGGATGTGATTAATCACGATTAATCATTTGACAGCACTAGTAAATATATTTAAATAATGTAAATATATATATGATTATGCTTAAATGGTTGAAATTAATCTTATGCTGATGCTAATAATCTCAAAATGTTGGCCACTTATATTACTTTTATACATTATTTTCTTGTTATAGTTTATCTTTTGATGAAAAATTTTAAAATAAATGGCACTCATTAGTCAACTATTAGACACATATTAGAAAAACTAACACACATATTAGAAAACTAACATTGTCAACATTTTTATTTGATGATAATGTGCAAAATGACAAAAAAACTGTTTTATTGTAGCAGGACACACTATTATTTATATTTTGAAATAATGTATAAATATTTCTTAATGTGTCGACATACACTATCATTCAAATATTTGGGGTCGGAAATTATTATTTGTATTCAGCAAGGATGCATTAAATTGATCAATAGTAACAGTAAATACTTTTGCATTCATACAACAGATTTCTATTTTAAATTAATGCAACTAAAAAAAAAAAGTATCATGGATTTCACAAAAATATTAAGCAGCATAACTATTTTCAGCATTTATAATAATAATAATAATGAATGTCTCTTGACATTCAAATAAATATATTTATATTCAAATATAAAACAGTTATTTTAAATCGTAATAATATTTCACAATATTACTGTTTTTGCTGTATTTTTGATCAAATAAATACAGCCCTAGGGAGCATAAGACTTATTTTAAAAACATGAAAAATCTCACCAACCGCAACGTTTTTCAACAGTGGTGTATAAAATATAACATGTAAAAATTGCATATAACCAAACTTAAGTAGCTATAACATTACGACCAGGGCCAAATAAACAACTCAACATTACAACCCTAAAGAACGTAAATTCCTCTCTTTTCCAAAGTATCATCAAACATCATATCAGCAAACCTGAACATGCGGAATGATAGTGAGGAATTATGATTTAAAGTGGATCAGCGTGGACTGCCATATGCCTGCCACTGTAGGTTAATGTAGTCTGACCGCACCGCTTGGCAAACGTTTACCCTGCGTCAGCACCATGGACAATAGACAGAGCTATGTCTGCTCACACATGGAGAACAATTCTGGCCTTGTCTGACCGTCTTCTGTGTCCATTCACTGCACAAAGCCTCAGTGTCTGAACATGTCACCGCTTCCGCAGTGCTGACCTGTTACAGGAAGTTATTTATCAGTGCTGCCCACTAAAGCACCAGAGAAAACGTCAGTTAGCCTACGCATCAAAGTACCACAGTACTCCTGTCACGTAATACTCCAGAAGTGTCTGTGTTTTACCTGTGGCTGTTGTTGAGCTCTGGGGTCTCGGGTTGGTAGGCCACATCCTCGCTGTCCTTACTGCGCATTCTCTCCTGCCGCGCTCTTCGTCTGCGCTCACGAGCGGCCTCCTCCTCATCCTCCTCATTCCGGTGATACGCCATCCTACACAGAGACAGTTAGGTGTTATACTGGTAAGAGACGATAAGAGTTAGGCCTCGTGTCACCTTGGCACACACAGTCACAGCTGCTGCTGTTGTTGCTGTTGAGGATGAACTTTCACTGGCTGTCAGCTCTGTGTGTGTGTGTGTGTTTCAGCTTTGGCAGCTGATGAGAGAATCCTGACAGCAGTGTGGAATTCGGCCCACACCACAGCCAGGGGACTTTCATGTAACCTAAATAAAGTTTTCACATCTCTCTGACAAGTTTTCTTCACTTCCCTCTCGTGTCTCTTGCTGATGTTTTATCTCAAGTTTTCAACCAGTTCACATTTTTGTACTTCTCTTAAGGTGTTTTACCTGTGGCTGTTGTTGAGCTCTGGGGTCTCGGGTTGGTAGGCCACATCCTCGCTGTCCTTACTGCGCATTCTCTCCTGCCGCGCTCTTCGTCTGCGCTCACGAGCGGCCTCCTCCTCATCCTCCTCATTCCGGTGATACGCCATCCTACACAGAGACAGTTAGGTGTTATACTGGTAAGAGACGATAAGAGTTAGGCCTCGTGTCACCTTGGCACACACAGTCACAGCTGCTGCTGTTGTTGCTGTTGAGGATGAACTTTCACTGGCTGTCAGCTCTGTGTGTGTGTGTGTGTTTCAGCTTTGGCAGCTGATGAGAGAATCCTGACAGCAGTGTGGAATTCAGCCCACACCACAGCCAGGGGACTTTCATGTAACCTAAATAAAGTTTTCACATCTCTCTGACAAGCTTTCTTCACTTCCCTCTCGTGTCTCTTGCTGATGTTTTATCTCAAGTTTTCAACCAGTTCACATTTTTTGTACTTCTCTTAAGGTTTTTTTTTATACTACAGTTCAAACTCTTGGGGTTGGAAAGAATTTTAAATGCCTTTGATATAAGTCTCCTATGCTCAACCAAGGCTGCATTTATTTGATCAAAAATACAGTAAAAAAACATAATGTGAAATATTATTACCATTTGAAATAACTTGTTTTCTGTTTTAATATATTTTAAAATATAATTTATTGCTGTGATGTAAAGCTGAATTTTCCGCATCATTACTCCAGTCTTCAGTGTCACATGATCCTTCAGAAAACATTCTAATATATGGATTTGCTGCTCAAGAAATATTTCTTATTATTAATTTCATTGCTGTGCTGCTTAATGTCTTAGTAAAAAAAATCCTATGCCACAATTTATTTAAAATACATTTATTTCATACTAAGTATACTTCACATCCGACATATCACTTAAGACTTACTGATATAAAATTACACTTAAACTTTATTTGGAGTCTTTATTGAAAAATGCACATTTCTTAGTATTATGCCTAAAATGTGTTTTAATTTGTGCTGTCAAACGATTAATCACATCCAAAATAAAAGTTTTTGTTGACATAATATATGTGTGTGTTCTGTGTATATTTATTATGCAAATATAAATACACACACATGCATGCATATATTTTAGAAAAATATATGTTTATATATTAAATATATTTATTTATAATATTAATTATATGAATATAAATATAGACATGTAAATACATGTAGATATTTTCAAAATATATACAGTATGTGTGTGTATTTATATATACACAATAAATATACACAGAACACACATATATTATGCGAACAATAACTTTTATTTTGGATGCGATTCATCGCGATTAATCGTTTGACAGCACTAGTTTTAATATCACTATTAATATTGTATGATCACTGTAATATGAGTCTTTAAATGCAAGATATTTAAAGTGTACCTGAAGTATACTTGCAATAGTTCCATTTTAGCACAATCAAATATATTTAAGTATATCTTTACTTGGACCTCAGCACTACTTCCGTACAATTGCACAAAATTTGTTGTTTCAATTTAACAGATTTTAAGTATACTAGTTTAGTAAATGTATAATTGCAGGGTATTTGTATTAAGCACATAAATATGTAAATGTATCTGTAGTATACTTAGCACAAAATAAATGTTTTTCAAATACATTAGGGTATGTAACAGTGCTACATTTTCCCCCGAATTCTTTCACGAACAAAAGAACGGTGTTTATAAAAAATCTTTTGTAACATTATAAATGCATTTACTGTAAATTTAGATGTACCGAGTCCTTACTGAATAAATGTATTATTTTCATAAACCTTTTGATTTTGGAGTGAAAGACTTAATCTGGACAAAAAGGCCTTCCTCAGTGTGTGCTGTGATCAGGAATGTGTTCAGAACTGAATGTGGTGCTCTGCTAACGCCCATGGAAAACCTTGGGGAGAGTGAAATCATATAGAGAGCCGGATTCCTGCTGATTCTGTTGTTCTTTCTTTCTGTCTTTCTTGTTCTTGTCCTCTCTCCCTTTGTCCTTGTGTTAACAAACCAATCAAGCAAACTCGAGCACATTTATACTGAAGTATAAACCATATCAAAATGTTCACTTTGTTCCTGTGAGGTCTACTTAAAACACACTACTTAAAAGCTTCTCATGATCATTTTCCAAAAAACACTTCAACGCCATCATATGAATTGAATAATAACAGTTTGTTGCTTTCTGACAAGGGTTTTAGATCAAGGTTACAGTACTATGTTTTTCACACTTTTATTTCAAAGTGATTTCTCTCAATCTAAAAATGAATACAATCCAGAGGGAGCATTCAAAACAGCAGAGAATGCCTTCAAATCCGCTTTAACATTGCAGCCCATCGAGTCCGGACTCTCTCTGATCTGATATCCCTCCGGGGAACACCACCTATCTTGCACAGACTACATAAAGCTTCCCTGTTCCATAACCACAAAAATAAATCAGAAAAAACATGCTGCAATAACATTCTGCAGTGTTTTGAGGGCACTGCTGTAACGCACTGGCATGGTCTCTGGTACCTGTAGCGATATGGGATGTAAACCAAGACATCAGGCAAACATGTTTTCCATATGAACCACAGCATCTTTCAGCCATGTAGCATTAATTATTTTATAGCGCGTGCGGTGAGAGCAACACACAGTGTGACATGTTTTATTGGATTCATAAAGTCTACAAAGGAAGCAGTGTGGGAAATGAAATTGATATGCAGTTAATTTTGCAGCTAATTTGCTCTCACAACATGCAGAGCACAATCAGGCGACGGATGTATCCAGCTGACAAGTATTTTCTTGTGGTCCAAACATCTCAGAAATGTCAGTGCAAACATTGCGCACAGGGCAAAGGCTCTGGAGAGCAATCACAGACACTCCACAAGGGTTGGGAGAGAGAAATATATGGACCCTGCCAAATAACTGTTCTATTCCCACGCTCTGCCTTCGTTCTTCCTCCACCTACTGACCCCACACTCGTCTCCAACACCACGGATCTGTCCATTCCTTACTTGACCACAGCAGAGGATCACCTGCTCTCATTTCTGCCCTGTAACCTCGTAGTTTTCTGTAACAGCATCCCTCGAACACATGTATACCCTTAAGCGGGCCTTTCCTCTACCAGCCGGAGAGAGTGTTTTTGGAATGGGCCATTCGTTGAGGATGGGTGTTATTTCCTGAGCTCTTCCTGGCCTCTCATGGGAACAGCACAGATGGAGCCTCCGCTCCAGAGAAAACTGCACAGAAGCAGCTAAAACGGCTCAAAAAAGAACAAGTTTTCCATTTTAATATACTCTTAAATTTACAAGTTATTCCTGTGATGCAAAGCTAAATTTTCAGCATTATTACTCCAGTCTTCAGTGTCAAATGATCCTTCAGAAATCATTCTAACATGCTGATTTGCTGCTCAAGAAACATTTCTTATTATTATAAATGTTGAAAACAGCTACTTAATATTTTGTGGAAACCACAATCCATGTTTTTCTGAATTCTTTCATGAATATAATGCTTAAAAGAACAGCATCATTTGCAACATTATACATGTCTTTACTGTCACTTTTGATTTATTTAATGCTTAATTTCTTTTTTTTTTTTAAATCTTACTGACACCAAAATTTACAAGGTATATTTATTAATTTATGTTTTTTTTTTATTATTATTTGATATTTTTTTTTTATGTTCTTGGAAAGCATTTTTTTATGCAACAAGTTAAATTTTGCATAAAATTAAAAATTAAAGAAAAAATTTATAAAATAAAAAATTCTGGATGGAAACATCAAGATGTGCATACAATATAAAAAACTTTACTGTAAGAAAAATTCTAAATAATATGGCCCAATATACTGGGCTAGGGCTTTGCCCGTATTTTAAATTATGCCTTGTTTTAGGGTTAACAGAAACTTCTGTACACTAAATGGATAGCCTAATGATTTAGCAAAAAAAAGACTCCACAGTTCTTACAGCGTTGCTTTAGGTGAATCATTTTGTGTAAAAACTATGATGGAAACACAAATCATGTGACTTTGCCTCGAGTCATGTGACTGAATAATCTCAGATGACATGCTCGATCCCAGACATAAAGCATCTGCCAGCGATCACTGGCATTTCCATTTCTCCAGAAGTGACGAATTTGTTCTTTTAAACAATGCAGCTGGCAATGCTACTTCAGTCACAAATTGCTTAAAATGCAATATTCCGATTTTTCCAGCATAAATTAATTCTCAGCATGGATGGAAACATGAATTTATTTTGCAGCTGATGCTAAAATAGAATCAGAGGACTGGACAGGAATGGCAGGTTTTGGTAATTATTAGTCAGAACATTCCGTCAGCATGTGAACGGGGACACGGAGCCAGCCGTCAAAACATTCCTGTGTGTGTATGCGGAGTATCAGTGACCCGACTGGAGCTGGAACACATCAACCTGTCTCGGGAAAGGCCACTGCAGTCACACAGAAGTGTGTGTGTGTGTACATAGTACTTTAAAAACAGCACGAACCCTCTGACCCTTCAACGGTGCCAGTCATCTCTGACCAGCTATTCACTAAATACAAAGCAGACCTGATCTATGATCTAGTCGTTATAGTCTCAAAGAGCCAGATGTTTGACTATCGCCAAAGTCTCATTCACTTTGCGGCTTATTCCAGCCATGAGCCGCCCACTTAAACAGGAAGGGCTCGTTTGACCTTCATGTAAAATGAATAACCACATTTCATTCTTTATGGATGATGTTTTAGGCCAGATCAATTGGAAATGGATGATACCACAATACACCAGCATTCAGCAAAAAGGCTCTTAATTCAA